GATGGCATGTGGAAGGGCATATCCTTCATAGATTGGAACAGTGTGAGAAACACCATCACCAGAATCCAGCACAATACCTGTTCCAATAGGGAGATAATCCAATGTCAGTATGATTACTTACGATCAATGAAAATGTGAAAAGCTCAAAGAGATTCCAATCTCAACGAACCCGTTGTACGGCCACTAGCATACAAAGAGAGAACAGCCTGGATGGCAACATACATGGCGGGTACATTGAAGGTCTCAAACATGATCTGGGTCATCTTTTCTCTATTGGCCTTGGGATTGAGAGGTGCTTCTGTGAGAAGCACAGGGTGCTCCTCGGGAGCAACACGGAGCTCATTGTAGAAAGTATGATGCCAGATCTTTTCCATATCATCCCAGTTGCTAACAATACCATGCTCAATAGGATATTTCAATGTCAGGATACCTCTTTTAGACTGTGCCTCGTCTCCTACATAGGCATCCTTTTGACCCATCCCAACCATAACACCAGTGTGTCGGGGACGACCAACAATACTGGGAAAAACAGCCCTGGGAGCATCATCACCAGCGAAACCAGCCTGCATAAGCAAAATCAGCACAATCATAACATAGTTCTCATGATAATATGGAGAATATAACTCAGGTGTAGATGCGTCCATATAACAGGACAGGTTTAGGTATGGAATGTGTCATCATCATTTCTACTTGCTCAAGCTTGTCCTGGTCTGAAATATGAACCTCAAATTATCCTCATCCGCCCATATTTGCAAAGGCTAACCTAAACTCATTTAGGCCAACCCAAGTTTATTTAATATTTAGTAATTTTATATATTTCTCCTAATTTTTTTTGAATAACATTTCTCTTAACTTTTTAAAGATAGACAATTTAACATATTTTTTAAATATTTAATATTTCAGGATGATATAAATTATATGATATATAAAAATAAAATAAAATATATATTTATAAAATTAAAAAATCAGTGTGGCCAGGCTTGGACCTAGAATATGGGAGCCCTAACTCATTTTCTAAACGGGACAATTGTTCAGACTTAATATATATGCGTCCAACCCAATCAAATTTCAAGTGGGCCTATGAAGGTAGGTACTTCAAGTCTTCAACTCTATGACAAGTTTAATCACGTATACAACTTAACTAACCTTCACCATTCCGGTTCCATTGTCACAGACGAGGGGTTGGATATCCTCACCGTCCATCTTTTACGATACTACAAACAAGAATCGAGACAGTAAGTATAGCAAAATCAATTGTCAACGGGAATTCTACGCCCTTCAACAAATCTAAATAAGTTTATATTAAAAAATTCGACAAATCAAGTTCCAGTGCCTCTTAATAGGTAAAAAAAAGCAGAAACATATAGTCAACATTAATTTCTTCAAACACATACAATACAACAGTCGAATATATTAGCTTAGGTATCTACGAAACAGCGCAAACAACTATAGCAGTTTAGAATCAAAATATTAGGCAATATTCATTTGTGGGAGTCTAATCAAGCTGTTGTATAATTCAATGGATAACAAATTAAATCAATTAGAAGGATCAAGATCCGAATTTTTCTTAAAGCTCGAAAAGAAAAACTTTGGAACCCATTAAATCTAGGCAATGAAAGCATTAATCAGAACAGGTTGGTCGAAGATCGAGTTCAAAATCAAGGAAATCAACAGAGTCTCGTAAGATCTATAAAGAAATAGCAAATTTAATGAAGCGGATAAAGCTAAGTAAAGATCCAGCTACAAGGACAGCAAATCAAGTTAAACCAAACAATCTAGAAACTTCTAGAGCTGTAAATCTCAGTTGCGTCATCGTCAAAAACGTCAAACTCAAGCGTCAAAAGCCACAGATGACAGATCGGTGGATTTCGAAGGAAATAGAAGCCAAGATAAAAGGCTTACCTGAAGTAAACGAAAGAACAAAGGAGGAGCTCGGTCGAGAGAGGGGGAAGAAGAAGAAGCAAAACGACGACGCTTTTATTTCCCCTTTTCTCTCTTCTCTGAAGTGGTGGTGCTGCTGATAGAGACGGAAATGTAAAGTGTAATGAAAGAAATAAAACGGGTATTTACGTCATATCCCTATATCTTATGGGGCAGACATACTCATTACTCACGGGTGATTTTTTTAATACATTTTCCCTAGGGTATCTTACGCAAATAAATTTCATTCGTTTTATTTATTTAAATATTAATAGTTAACATAAGATGACGAATTAAATTACTTTTAAAATTTAAAATTATATATCAACGCATCCTATAATTATTTCACGTGTGTTTTAGAAATAGTATCAAGAAAATTGATAATAAATATGTTGATAAAATTGATTTTTTTTTTAAATAAACGTTTATTATTTTACATGTATTTAGTTAATTTTTTTAGTTACAACCAATAATATATAATGAATTGATCAGATTCATTTTGAATACAATATTTTAAATAAAATAATTAAAATTTTATATTTTTTAACAAAAAATCTTCTATGAATAATTTATTCAATTCATTTGAATACCAATAATAAAAAGGGTAAACTACATCAGATACCATCAAACTTTAGGTGATTTATACCATTGAACTTTTATTTTTGTCAATTATATCACTGAATTTTAATTTTCGTTTCAATTATTTTACTGAACCATTAAATCGTTAACAGAACAATGATGTGGCTGATAATTGTCGACATAGACACAACACCAATGATTTGTTTTGTATGGTTATTAGCGATTTAACGACCTAGTGGTATAATTGAAACAAAAATTAAAGTTTAGTGTTATAAAAAAATTTAAAGCTTTGTGGTATAGACAATACAACACCTAAAGTTCAATGGTATCTGATGTATTTTACCATATAAAAATCAAATCTTAAAGGGTAAAATACATTATTCCTCATTAAACTTTGCTCGCTCTCCTATTTTACTCATTATACTTTCAATTTTTCTAATTCACTCATTAAACTTTTAAATTGCTACTGTTTTGATCACTCTGAATTATTTTATTATTTATTTTTGTATGATGTGATATTTTTTGCTTAATATAAAAAATTAAAATAAAAAATAAAAAATAGAAAGTGGTCAGACATCATTGTCAACTGCCATAAAAGATGGTCGTTCTGTCCCAAATTTCATAGGTCAGTTCGCCTAGACGACTCGACCCCTTGAGTCTGAATCTAGTGGTTGTTTCACCAGAAAATTCCAAAACTCCTTAATTACGACTGAAACAATTTAGTTTCCTATCGATCTTTAATTCGTGGACTTCGGAGCAAGTTTTGACTAGAGGTTGGATTCTGACAAAGGGTGTTAAAACCATGGTTATCAAAACCGGACCGGACCGACCGGTTCAACAGTGAACGGGTTGCCTGTCCGGTCCGGTTACCTCACAAAACCGGTCTGACAATGAACCGGCTGAAAATCGGTAAAACCGGGGTGAACCGACTGAAAACCGGGAAAACTGGTTTGAACCGCCGGTTCACTTTTTTTCTTTAAAAAAAAATTAAACTAAACGACATCGTTTGTTCAACGAGCCGAGTCAAATTCGAGTATTGCTGAGCTCGACTCGAACTCGAAAACTTTAAAAGTAAGCTCAACTCAACTCAAAAACTCACGAGCTAAAAATTATCAAGTTCAACTCGAACTCGAAATATAATATTAAAACTTGAACTCTAAAAGGCTCGAACTCAAAAAAAAATTAGAAGTTCGATTGAAGCCTAAAATTTGAGCTCAATTTAAGCGAAAGAATAGTTCGCTCTGTGCTCACCAAAAGGCTCTATGATTTTGAATGTCAAATTACCTCTATTATTTATAGAAGTAAGTTGAGATGTTCTTCTATGTTTCTTAGCCATGTGAGATTGTTTTGTTCTAATATTTTTACTTTTTAAACTTTTGGGATGTTCTTCTATGTTTCTTAGCCATGTGAGATTGTTTTTTTTTAAATTAAACCAAATAACATCATTTGTTATGATTTTTTAAGCCTCAATTTTATTTTTTTGATTATAGTTATATAATTATATTTATTATTTAATATGTTTTACCTTAAATATTATGTTGTAGTTGATTTGAATCATTTTGTTTCACTTGATTTTATGGTTTTTAATTTATATATGTTATGACTTGTGACATTTTTATACCTTTTAGTATTGTAAACTTAAAAAGAGTGTTACATATATATTAATATTGCTTTGAATATCATGTAAAATTAAAAAAAAAATATTTTATATAGGTTGAACTAGTGAACTAGCGAACCAGTACCTTCACCGGTTCAATGTCCGGGTCCGATTTTAAAAACATTGGTTAAAACAAAGCAATCCATGAAAATTGGGATCAAACAATGATGACATCATAACACCTTTTATTTTTATTTTATATTTTAAATTATTTTCATATTAAATAATAATTAAAAATGCCACACCATATAAAAAGAATAATAAAAATAATTCAAAGTGATCAAAACATGAGAATTTGAAAGTTCAATGAATAAATTAGAAAAATTAAAAGTAAAATAAGAAAAATAGGAGAGAGAATAAAGTTAAGTGAGAAACGATGCAATTTACCCAATCTTAAAAAGTATATGAAAATTAAATTAATTAAAAAAGAGTAAATTGTGTGTTAGTACTTAAACTATCAATTTTAGTATATTTTAGTACCTAAACTTTCAATTTTTTAAAAAATTATACCTAAAGTTTAATTTTTATTTCATTTTATTATCTCGTAGTTTAAAAAGTTAGTTTTTGTTTCATTTTAGTACATGTTCGAAATTTAACGTTAAATTTTGAAGGAAAAAAATTAAAATTTTAGGTACTAAAATAAATAAAAAATGATATTTTAGGTACTAAACACGTTAAATTTTTAATGCATGTGTACTAAAATGAAATGAAAACTAAATGTTATGCATATTTTGAAAAAAATTTGAAAGTTTTAGTACTAAAACTGATCAAAACTGATAGCTTAGTGGCTAATTGCATAGTTTACCCTAAAAAAAGCTCCGATCGAAATTTGAACTATTAGAATTTGCCAAGGACTCAAACGAGATAAGTCTAGCAGCTACTATAGACATCAACATGAAGGAAAGCTAATGAAAGCTCTCAGCCATGGCTGCCATGCCCTATCTGTCGGAACCCTTCACGATCGGAGACTACAGGCTAAAATCAAAGCTAGGAGGAAGCTCTATTTCAATCGTTTGGAAAGCTGAGAGCAAATCAAGCGGCGAAGTTGTGGTAGTGAAGCAAGTATTCCTTTCCAAGCTAAACAAACACCTCGCTAACTGCTTGGATTGCGAGCTTAGTTTTCTCTCCTCTGTTAATCACCCCAACATCATTCGCCTTCTCCACGTTTTACAGGTTTGTTTGTTTATCTGGGCTTTTTTTTCATTTTTTTCATTCCAACAGGCGTGATTTCTGGAATACCCATTTGAAATATCTCTTGAACCCGGCAGTTTGATGGTTTAACATTTCAATTTCTCTTTGTTAAGTTGAAATCTTTGGTTGTTTTGTACCAATTACTGGGAAGTGATTCAATCAATCATTTTGATTTTTAACTTTGCAATGAGTATTTTTTTTGTCGTATTTCCATGGTAATCCTAGCTCTCCATGGATTGGCTTTCGTCGAGAAATGGTGTTGTAATTTAACATTGAGATGAAACTGCAGAAACTTGCTGCTAGTTTCTCCTGTTCTCTAGAGCTTAATAAGTCATACGTTGAAGTTGAGTATCAAGTGCTGAGGATTTAGCATTCATTTTCATATCTGTTTTGCTAATCTAATTTATACCAAAGAAATGGCTGGTTTTCTTTGATTTTCAGTCTGAAAGATGCTTGTTCTTGATCCTTGAGTTCTGTGATGGAGGAAATCTAGCCTCTTACATTCGTCGTCATGGGCGAGTTCAAGAGCAATTAGTGAGGCGATTCATGCAGCAACTAGGTAACTACTTACATATTTTTTTAAAAACCTATGCGACGGCAAGGTTTCTTCATTTAAACAATATTTTTCGAGATGTTTAGTTTGTTTCCCTTGCAGGAGCTGGTTTGGAAGTATTGCAGTCCCACCATATCATTCACAGAGACCTGAAACCAGAGGTATGGAACATCTTTAGCATCATTGCTATATTCATTTTGCATTTGTGACCTTTCATACGAGTTCTCCGGGATGCACCCTGGTTTGCCTAGTTAACCACATGCAGCTTGCCTTTCATGTCTTCCTGATATTTTTCTCTACAAGATCAAGTCATCCTCCTAGAAGGAAGAACAATTAAGCCAACATATCACCGATTCCCGTTATGTCAAGATGTAAACCTATGCAGTTACCCGGGGTAAGTATATTAGGTGATCCTAATTTGGTGCCGGACTGGACTTACAGCTTAAAAGAGAATAAATACCTTGGAGTAGTCACAACTCCAAAGAATACCAGAAGTTTATAACTCAGGGTTACCATTTTTTAAAAATTCATCAATTACTGCATGTCATTGTTCGCAAATTGCAACCATGTTATGCATGTATATGATTTCAGAGTAAATTTTTCGATATAATAATTCCTTTAATCCAGTTAACCATGGTGCTTTTGTTGGAATAGAACATTCTACTTTCGGGCCCCAAGGATGATTTGGTGCTGAAGATAGCAGATTTTGGTCTTTCAAGGTAAATTTCATTTAACGGGAGCTAATGGACAAGATAGTATATTAGGTCCAGTATTTGTCCAACAAAATTGAGGACAATGTCTATGGAAATCCATCATTTTTTCCCATGGAATGGTTTTTTCCCATCCTATTTAATTGTTTCCCCACTTTTATGTTTATGGTAGAAGTGTAGATCCAGGCAAGCATGCTCAATCAGTATGTGGAACCCCATTGTATATGGCGCCGGAAGTTTTACAATTTCAAAGTTATGATGAGAAGGTAATGACATGTTTTCTTCTTCTTCAATGAACAATCTTTCCTCTCTACTTCTCTCATTCTCTGTTTTATAAATTTTGTGGAATTGGAGCATACTGAAATTTAGGGCTTAGCCATAGGTTGACATGTGGAGTCTAGGTGCAATTCTTTTCGAGCTTCTTAATGGTCACCCTCCTTTCCGGGGTAGAACTAATGTTCAGGTAGGAGAGTTAACCTAACAAATTCATTGAATTGCTTTAATGGTTTCCTAAAACGTATGTCGATCTCAGCTGCTGCAGAATATTAAGTCATCTACCTGCCTACCATTTTCTAAGCTCATTCTTCCACAATTACATCCCGACTGTGTCGACATATGTTCAAGACTTCTTTCTGTAAATCCAGGTCTGGTGTTACTATTAATTTCGCACATATTGATTTCTTCCAACCCCAGAGGTTTTTTCCCTCTTAAAATCCATAACTCGGATTTGTGCATGTTGCAGTTGATCGCCTTTCGTTTCAAGAATTCTATCAACATAGGTTTTTGAGGAAAAAAGGAAGGCGAGAATAAAACCGACCTTGTACTTGAGAGTGTGAATGCTGTCGTACAATTCATCCCGATATAGAAATTGGCGAGTGTAGCATATTCAGAAGCTTTATGTTGAGTTCTCACTCGCCAATTCGGTGTTTCAGCTAGATGGCAGCATTAAGAGAGTATCACCGAACCGGAAATGACACTAACAAACACTGTCCCGTAAATACAACATACATTAACTTGTTTAAGCATTATGTTGTAACTTGTTTTTGTTGTTGATTATGCTTTATGATATAGCATCTCTCTGTTTGTTATGGTTATGTTCTTGATACTCTATTTTGAATTACCCGTCCGATTTCTCAAGCAGGTTACTAATCCTTAACTTTTTGAGGAATCCTTCATCAGTGGTTTTGCATGATTTTTTCTCGAACTTTTCGACCTTGGTTCCGTAAGATCAATACAATTCATTTTTCAACCGGATCCGAGCGGATAGCTGATATCAAACCGATAATATGCATCAGCGTAATACTTGTTAAAAGGCAGATAACTATTCCAGAAAATTTCATTTTGGAAAGGGATTAAAAGAACCAGATTAGGAGAGAATGAAAATATTTTGCAGTTGTTGCCAAATGGTAATGGATTCATGCTAGCCTAGCAAATTGAATGACAATTTCATGGTGATCCACGAAATTATCCATGTAAAGTTGTAAACATTGAGGGGTGTTTGGTTCGCAGAAAAGATCCGGAATTATGGAAATTATATTTTCATGTTTGGTTTACGGAAAATATTATTATTAGGTAATAATTTATTACCAATAGTACTATTTTTGAGTTAAAATAGTGGGAACGTCGTTACCTCTAAATTTTTAGAAATGAACAATTCTTACCACTTAAGGCAAACACCCAAGAAATAATGATTTTTTCATATGAATTATTTTCAATTTTTATTCTCTGTGGTTTATTAAAAATTATAAACTTAATAATAATAATATCTAAAGAGTTTGTCATTCAGCGGGTTAAAGATTTGGTTTCATTGAGCCTGAAAGGGATGAAAGTTGAAATCTGGGGGAGTGCCTAATAGAGTTCTCTGCCTAGCTTGGGATTTAGAGTGAGTTTTGTCTGATGGTATAGGTTATTTGTTCATTGTTTAATTCTTTAGGTTTTGCCTTTTTTTGAATGAGAAGTGCATATATTCATCTAAAAATTATAAACAAAGAGTTTAATTTAATAAAATATCAATAAAATTGAATTGTTAAAGTTATTTTAAATTTTCAATGTATATTAATTCTTTTATAATCTGATGAGGTGAAAATATTATTATTATAAAAATGTAATTATTTAAAATAATATCTAATTATGTGTTATTAAAAAATAATCTTATATATTAAAAAATAATGTATTTGTCCATTCGAGATCACAATATTATTTTTTATATTATATTATATTTCATATAAATACATATGATACTTATGAAAATTATTTAAAATTATAAGTTTGATATACTAATTTTATTAATTATATGTTAAGTCTATTTTTTTCTTTAAACTTATATAATGTAATAATTAAAAAAAATTCAAGTTTTCATTCAAATAATTATCATTTAATATTAAAGTTTTACTTGCTAAAAGAAATTATATATCACAAGATTAATTTGATAAAATATACATTCAAATAATTTTATATTCCTCTAACCAAATATTATGATTTTATATTTTTTAAAACAAATCATGTAACATTCTCATAATAATAATAATAATTTTGTATTTTGATAATCTTATAGATAGTTAAATTTCGTAAATCACACGTACCTTATCATCGTGTCGTGTCATCTTCTGTTATTTTCCCATCACTGAGGATGTGTTTAAAGCTGTTTGCCGTGTTGCCAACTACCTGTATTAATCATGTCATCCACGGCCTGGCTAACTATAATTGAACAATGCGACCACTGAACTTCCTTTTATGAAAAAGTTAAATAAAAGTAAGGCCTAAAAGTCATGTGAAGCTCCTGTAATTAAAAATAAAAAAAAACAAATGTAACTGTAGTATTATTTTTTAAAAATATAACTATTTATTTAAAAAAAAAGCGATCTTGACCGATAATTCTATTAATTTGTACTGTTATAAATTGAGTAAATTATACAATTCATCATTTAGTTATCTTTTTTTTGTTCGTTAAATTCATCACTCAACTATTTTATCTTTTTTATTTTAATCAATAAATTTAAAAAAAAAAATCAATTTAATTGCTCAATTTTTAAATCGCTCTTCTTTTTAATTATCATTACTTATTTTATTACTATTCATGTATGATTGTGACATTTATTATTATTATTATATTAATATATGATTAAAAATAATATTAATTAAATTAAAATTTTAATTTAATCTTCTCTACGATGAAGAAGCCACTCCATGAACGTATTACAACCAAAAGCCATGGAAAATACGATGTGCGAGTTAATATCCTAATTCATCGATTTTGATTAACGAAATAATTTATACGACGTTTAATATTAATTTTTGGTTGGAAATGAGGAAATCAGGCAGTGGGTTTTCAACGCGATTAAGGGCTGCCTGTAATGGAATAGGGGACACCGGTTCTGTGGCAGTAGTGTTAGGAAATAAACCGAGTACGAGTAATTTCCCTATAACCAGATTAGTGAGAATGCGAAATAAAAGCGAAAAAATAATACCCGAAATTGATAACGGAGTTCAGCCAATTGTGCTTACGTCTCCGGGCTGTTGCAGATCTTTTACTAAGAGAAAATTTACAGGTGTTTACACAACACACTTGATAGAGAACTTGAAGATTTTGGGATGATTTTGAAGCTAAATGAGCTAGGGTATTTATAGTTGAAGCTTAGGACTAATCTTGTAAATACCCTAAAGTGTGCAATGGTTAAAAAGGTAATTAACCCATTTACAATTTCAATAAAATATTGGACACCGAATTCGGTGCCCCTTTTGTTGAAAATGAATGTGTTGTGCCCCCAATTTTGAAAATTTCTGCTGAAAACAATTCAGCTGGGCCCCACCTTTGATTACTTTCAACAATCTCTCACTTGAAGACTGATTTTAATATGTCTTCACACCTCGATCAGTGCAGCAGCATTTCTAGTCTTGTTATTCTAGCATGCCAACTGAAGCTGAACACAACTTCAGTTTGTCTGTGGTCACCGTCTTTGTCAACATGTCTGCCGGATTTTGAGCTCCACTAATCTTTTCAAGTTTCAAAATCCCATCTTCCAGAAGAGACCGAATAAAATGATATCTCAATTGTATATGCTTCGTTCTGGAATGAAAAGACGGATTCTTTGCTAGATGGATAGCACTTTGATTGTCGCAATACAAAACATTGTTCTTGTTTCTTGCCTAACTCTTCCAAGAAACTTTGGAGCCAAACCATCTCCTTGCTGGCTTCCGTAACATCGACATATTCTGCTTCAGTTGTGGAGAGAGCAACTATCTTCTGTAGTTGAGAAACCCAACTCACTGCAGTACCTCCTAGAGTATAGACATACCCTATAGTGCTCCTTCTGATGTCAACATTTCTGGCTAAGTCAGCATCTACATAGCCTGTCAGTATCGTATCTCCATCTTTGAAACAAAGTGCTTTGTTTGTGGTACCCCGCAGATATCTGAGGATCCATTTGACTGCTTCCCAGTGTACCTTGCCTGGATTATTCATGTACCTGCTAACAGCTCCCACTGCATGAGCAATATCTGGTCTGGTACAAACCATGGCATACATCAGACTTCCAATTGCTGAGGCATACGGCACCTTCACCATGTGTGCACGTTCTTCCTCTGTCTTTGGTGATTGGTCTTTGGAGAGTCTGAAATGAACACCTAAAGGTGTACTTACTGGTTTAGCATCTTGCATATTGAACCTGGAGAGTACTTTGTTGATGTACTCAGCCTGTGATAACATCAAAGTCCCCGACTTTGTGTCTCTCTTGATCCTCATCCCAAGAATCTGCTTTGCAACGCCCAGATCCTTCATAGCAAACTGCTTCGACAATTTTTGCTTCAAGTGTATAATCTCTTGCATGTTTGAGCCTGCAACGAGCATGTCATCAACGTACAACAATAAAATAATGAAGCTATTGTCGAACCTCTTGATGTAGCAACAATGATCTGCTTGGCATCTGGTAAAACCACTGCTACCCATGAAACTATCAAACTTCTTGTACCACTGTCTAGGAGCTTGTTTTAAACCATACAAGCTCTTCTTCAACCTGCATACCAAGTTTTTCTTGTCTGCCTCTATGAAGCCTTCTGGCTGCATCATATAGATTTCTTCCTCCAAATCACCATGAAGAAAAGCTGTCTTTACATCTAACTGCTCAAGATGTAAATTCTCTGCAGCTACAATTTTCAACACCAGTCTGATTGTAGACAGTTTTACTACTGGAGAGAAAATTTCATTGTAGTCAATACATTCTTTTTGCTGAAAACCTTTGACTACCAATCTTGCTTTGTAGCGTTTGCTCCCATCGTGCTCTTCTTTGATCCTATAAATCCACTTGTTGTGGAGCGCTTTCTTGCCTGGTGGTAATTCAGCTAATTCCCACGTCTGATTTGATATAAGTGAGTCCATCTCATATTTCATGGAAGACTCCCACTTGAATGAATCATCCACCTGCATCGCTTCATCATAGCACTATGGTTCACCATTGTCAGTCAGCAACAAGTAGTGCAAAGAAGGCGAATACCGTTGGGTTGGTTTAGGAATTCTGGAGGAGCGTCTCAGTTCTGGTGTGCTTGGTTCTTCCTCTTGAACTGCTTCAGGACTGATCTGAACATCATTTCCAGAAATCTCCTCGAACTCAGCAAATTCCTTTGTTTCAGCTTCAGTATTACTTGATTCTGTGGTTGACCTGTCTTTGTACATCACATTTTCATTGAAAATAACGTCTCTGCTTCTGATGATCTTTCGATTTTTGTAGTCCCAAAATCGGTAACCGAACTCATCACCACCGTAACCAACAAAGACGCATTTGTTGGACTTAGCATCAAGTTTACTTCTTTCAGCAGAGTTTATGTGTACATAAGAAATACAACCAAACACTCTTAAGTGTGAAAGGTTTATTTCTTTTTTGCTCCAAGCTTCATCTGGTATTCCGCCATCCAAAGGAACATAGGGTCCACGGTTGATAAGGTAAGCTGCAGTGTTGATAGCTTAAGCCCATAGAGATTTGGGCAATCCGGCATGTATCCTCATGCTTCTGGCACGTTCATTCAGAGTTCTGTTCATGCGCTCTGCTACGCCATTCTGCTGCGGTGTTATGGGAATTGTTGTCTCCATCTTGAT